CTCGTATCAGTCAATCACGCTTCCTGGAGTGATGATAATATGATTTCGATCAATGCACTAGAGGACTTGTGATATCTGTTCGACTGATTAATCGTGCAATTTCAGTCACCAAAACCACCAAATCCGTGGAATGAAACACGTGACTGCGGTCCGGGTCGCGTTCAACTCTGTGTTGAATTCTGGTTTCATAAGACAGTTCGAGGCACCGAGGACTGTCTTTATATGGATCTTGTAATACCTACGGCTGCACCGGTAGGGGTAGTAGCTTTGTTCATTGATCCAGATCACTCGAGTGTGAACATTAATCTGATGATTGATATTTGTTTATTTCAGAAACGAAATGGGTCATATCCAATACTGATGTGGATCCATGGTGGATCTTATCAGGTTCATTTACTAGCGCTTCAATTGTTTTGATTATGATTGATCATTTTGGTAATCGCCTAGGTTGAATAAATCATGTTTTTGTGTACTCGTCAGTGAAGAATTTATTTTGGTCATAGAACCAAAATCGTTTGTACAAATGACAAATCAGTTGCAGGTGAACAGTGCTGGAATGTACCCATTGAAGACGATTGTTGCGAACTTTGCTTCGAGAGGCATTATTTTCGCCTCGATTAACTATCGTTTAGGGCCATTGGGTTGGTTATTTCTCAAAATTCACTTTCAGAAGATATCCCATCGATCACCCAAGGGGAGGCGAACGGTGGAACTCGCTAACCAATCAAAAAGTTTACGTTTTTTGAATAGCTTTGAATGTCACCTAGTTCGCGAGGACACGATCATCAACTCTCTTCATCCCCATTCCCAACCTTTTCCCTCCCCTCACACACAAACGGAAATTTAAGATGTTGATATGTCGAATAACCAGTGAATTAAGTTATGGATTTAAATCCGTAAAATTGCGATTGTTGAAGAAATCGCTCTATGTCTGAAGCAATTGATACGACATACAAAGTGATCATCTGATATAATCTGCAGACCAAATATGATTACTGCAATCTGAAGTCTAACGATTTTGAGAGCATAAAAGCTGATTAAATCTCACAATACAGGTTTTTTGACTGCATCGCATCGTTTATTAACGGGTAATTTCGGTCTCGACGATCAGATTCAAGCGATTCGATGGCTGAAAGAGAATGCACCGAATTTCGGTGGAGATTCGGCGCGGATAACGCTGGCTGGAGAGAGTGCTGGTGCTGCTTGTGCGAGTCTCTTAGCTATCTCACCGAAGACTAAAGGTTGTCACTTATCACTTTCAGTCATATCATCAAATATAATGGGGCAAATCATTAGCTCGTTTAATGCAATGAGAATATGCGAATGACGCATATTGACCGCGAATAAACGTAAAAATTTATCACTTTCTGATGAATTTTTTGAAATCGTTCCAGTGATATTCGATGATGCGATAACAGCATAATGTATCCATTAATATCGGTGTTCCTTTGTCACTATCTTTTGAAGTCACCTTTTTTTTCATTTATCATCAAATTATCCACTCATTTCGTATTACTGCCATCTGTTCGACGTCCCACGCAGGTTTCATTTTAACAGCTGGCGTCAGGAAGATGTATTTTTTGTTGGATGGCTTATACATAGGTATACTGTCGATTCTGCGTCATATTTTCTAAATTATGAGTTTACTATGATCGAAAACGAATTGTTGGACGGCCGCACTGAATGAATTGTAAAAAATTAATGGAAATAGTTTCTGCCTTTTCATCTTCACATTCTTTTTTGTTTCAAACGATTGAGTGGATTTCTCACAGATGTTTTCAAGTTTTTCGGTGATTTTGAGAATTTTTTGTATGACAACTACAGTTTTTGAAGTGATATGATCACGTCGGATAAGATAAAACCTAGTATGTGTTTAGTTTCAATACTCTCAAGTCGCTTCTGCATTGTCTTTTCTTCAGTTGCTCTCATCCTGACTCTAGGGTGATTGATTTGAGATGCAATGAATTTGAGAGTTAATATCATTTCAATGCAATAAATGTACGAAAGAAGTTGTATCTTTCAACGTTGTTTCAATAACAGAGTACAAACAGAAAGCGAATTTGAATAGAATACCAATAAAGAATGTGAAATTATTCACAATTCAATCGCTGAAAATCTCGCCCTATCAGAAATGCGATAATGATGATTTGAACATGCTGATGGAGCGATTAAACAGTTTATCTTGAACACAGAACGAGTGAAATATAGTTTCAAACAAATACTGAAAAATATCATTGTGCCAGAAATATGACCACATTTATAAAATGTTGGTGAAGAGTTGATCATCCACAAAGATAGATGTGTGCAGTTGTAAGCGATGGAAGCAGCTTGATAAGATATGAATCGAGAAACATACATTTGAATGTGATATCTGAGGGTTTATTCAACTCAAAATTGTTTTGCAAATGTGGAAGTATGTCAGTGAATAAAAGCATCAAAATATTCAAATTCAGATCTGTTCAGCGGTGTGATTTTACGAAGTGGAAGCGCATTGGCTCCGTGGGCAGTTCGATCGACATCAACCGAGAACAATTCAGCTCGATTGATGGATTATTGTGGATGCAGATACAATAGAACACTGGGAATGACTCATATCAAAGAGTGTATGCAATCCATACCTGTTGAACGGTTTCTGAATGGATGGCATCATGTGGCAATTACTTCACCTAATATTGTTCGTAGTCACAAAACTATATCACATTAGCAATTTTTTTACTGATTATATGACGAACAGATAAAGTGAGGGATTTCTTATATTCATAACTGCGTCGCCTTAAGTTAGTAGAGGAGCGATTTCGCCACTGCACACATGGTTGTAGATCTATTGATGTGTCAGGTGAAATCTGATGGAATATGGGATATATTTGAGGAGCAGGCATCGACACTGGCCATTATATCTGAAATTGAATTGGTGAAATGCATTCTTGAGAAAAGACATTTCTAGAATGTGGCCTTTCAGGGTCGAGAGTCGCAGCTTATGGCAAGTACCTATTTTACACCGGTGATCGACGCGTTCCGAATTGAAGACAGCGTCATACCTGGTGAACCAATGTTGCTTGCGAGAGAAAACGCGAGATTACCTCTGATGATCGGAGTGACGAGTGCAGAATCTGGCTATTTGTTAGGGAAATTTATCGGTGAGCTTTTTATCGGTGGAGTTCAGCGATGCTCTCTGTATCAATCATTAATACATTACCACCGGAATATCTTCAAACTGCCTGTACCCTCAGTTTTGCCCAGCAACATATCAACTTCTTGTTAGCATTAGATTCAGCACATTCTAGGCTTTCACAATATTATAGCAAAGTTTTGTGGAGTAGCAAGAATTGAGTTGAACAATTGGTTCAATAGCGTTTCGGTTTGGACAATTTTGCATTTAAAAGATTTCAAAGATGCGAATATTGACAACGAGAAATTACCGGAGACGCTTCGATGTGATAAAAAAGACATAATAATGAGTTGTTTGTGTTGAATGAATAAATGAATAACTATTAAATATGTGTGGAAATGAGAGTATTGCAGTGCATTCGAATCGTTACACAGAAACAGGTGAATGGGACTTGGATCCTGTAATACCACCGCATTTGTATTCAAATTATAAACAGGTTAGTCGGATGGCACCGAGATTTCCATTTCTGACTTTATGTTATCCAATTGAGCATGATTGAGACGAGAAAACGATTATTTTGGTCGACGTGAAATGTGTTTTTATGAACTTTCAGGTGCAAAAAGCGACAGAATATCAATATCTGAATGATTATCCGCAAAATTTGAACGATGTCGAGCAAAGGCGTACACTCGTTCAAATCACTTCAGGTTCGGCTATTGTTCTAGATCGACCTGTTCTGAGCTGCAATTGTGATGATATTTAATTGATTCACTCGAATATCAAACGATAATTCGATCATCTCTCAAAATTTCAGATCAAAATTTCAAAGCACCAGCTGCACGTGAGGCTATGCTATACGCAGCCAGAAATCAAACTGTTTTCGCATATGTGTTTCAACATGAACATCCGCAGTTGACAAAGCGAATGACTTTGTTGGGTATCAAAGGAGGTGATACATCTCTGAAAGCTTATATCAATGATCATATGAATTGATATGATAGGTGGATGACACAGATAATGATGTTTCAATTCAGTAGGCGCAGTGCACGGAAACGATTGCTCGTATATATTCAACGCATCCAAATTATCAGATCCCTTCTTAAACGAAGTCAATTGGTCTGAGGAAGATCAACGAATCACAGAGAGATTATTGAATCAAATCTCTGATTTTGTTCAATTTAGGTAAGTTTATCCCCAGTAGGTAGAGACTGTTCAGCTGGATGTATATCAGCGATTATATTGGACTTATTGAGTATTGATTGAATGGAATAATTGAGCATCGATTGAATGGAATATCTGAGTTGAACTTATTGA